TGTTTCAAAACATATTGTTGGAAGGGAGAAAGCAAACTGCATGGTGATGCACCCAGGATGAATGCATTTGCATCAAGAAATATGAGACAATGCTACTTATATGCTGGAGGTACATGGAACATGTGCCTGAATCTAAAATTGGTGTAGATGACACACAAGTTCGTCATAGCCCCAGCACCAAGGCAGCAGGACAAGGCCAGATTGAAGGTAGTGGGGAAGGGGTTGAACTGCTTCCATGGCCTCCCCACTCTTCAAATTGGGCTCATATGCTTATTTTTCCATTTTGTTGGTTTTTGTTTGTTAGTTGGTGTTTTGAGACAGGGTCTCGTTGTGTAGCTCAAGTTGTCCTGGAGCATACAATGATCTTTATGTCTCAACCCTCCAAATGCTGCAGTTATGGCTGGGTACTACCACGCCATACAGGAAATACATATCATGTGTTTCTTATACAATTCATTTACTTATTTTTTATGTGTATGAGTGTATTGCCTGCACGTATGTAAGTGCACCCGTGTCATGGAACTGGAGTTACGGACAGTTGTTAGCCACCATGTGGGTGATGGGAATCAAACCCAGGTCCTTAAGGGCAGCCAGTGCTCTTAACTGCTGAGCCATCTCTCAAGCCCCAGGAAAAAGCTTTTTAAGATGCCCATCAACCCCCTGTCCTTAGGATAATGGTGGCCAGGGTCCCATTCTCTGAACTGCTTCTTGGGGGACCTGGTGTCTTTACCCAGAAGTCCCATGATCTCAGTCATGTGGTCTGGAGGGTGCTTTCCCTCTTGGGACTATCCCCCCTATTTTCTGGGAGGTATTGTGGTGCTTAGGATGCACCTTCAGGCTCTGCCTCAGGAAACGTGGATTTGAGTCTCAGCTTTGTCATTTACCAGGACATGACCTTGACCAAACTTTGCTCTGCAAAATCATACCCAGTTGGCAGATTTCTGGGGTGCAAAGGGCCTAGAGTGAGGCCCCGCTAGCCAGGTGCTGCGTCTTTCTCTCTTCTTCCAAGTTTCTCTGACTGTAAGTAGGGGCCCGAATACCTCAGGCTGAGTCTGACTCACTCCTAAACACCATGCCAACCACAGTGCCCGACATGAAGCAGATGCTCAGGCCACTGTGATTTGGCTTCAGAAAAATGAGATGCTAGATTATCAATGATGACCGAAGTTACCACAGTCTAACTGGGTGGCAGACGCACCCAGGAGTGAGGGTGGTGGCTGGGCTCAGATCTTTGGGCCATTTTTTATCTATTTTATTTTTAAAATTTTATTTATTATTTTTATTTTATGTGTATGTGTCCATTGCCTGCATGTAGGTAAGTACATCCATGTCGTGTAATGCCTGTCTGGGTCAGAAGAGGCTGTCAAATCCCCTGGGACTGGAGTTATGGACAGTTGTTAGCTGCCATGTGGGTGCTGGGATTCGAACCCGGGTCTTCTGCAAGAACAACCAGTGTTCTTAACCGCTGAGCCATCTCTCCAGCCCCTAGCCTGGAACTTCTTATGTAGAATAGGGTAGCCTTGAATTTGTGGTGATCTTCCTGCCTCTGCTTCCTGAGTGCTGAGATTTTAGGCCTGCACCACCATACCAGGCTCCTGAGGCCATCTTGAACTTTACCTTGAAGGCAGTAAGGAGTCATTGAAGATTTCATCAAGGAACTGAAATATGGAGGTAAGCTTCAAGGAAAAAAAAAAATGATGTGGAATGGCAAGATAGCTTAACAAGTAAATGTGCTTACTGTAAAACATGAAAATCTGTTCAATCCCTGAGACCCCCAGGGTAGGAACAGAAAACAACTGACTCTTGTGGGCTTTCCTCTGACCTCTGGGCACAAGTGCACCCATGCACACACAAATAAATGATAGATAGATAGATAGATAGATAGATAGATAGATAGATAGATAGATAGATAGATAGATAGATAGATAGATAGATAGATAGATAGATAGATAGATAGATAGATAGATAGATAGATAGATAGATAGATAGATAGATAGATAGATAGATAGATAGATAGATAGATAGATAGATAGATAGATAGATAGATAGATAGGGATAGATAGATTTGAAAAATATGTTTTAATGCATTGTATGGAGTTGGCTTTGAGATAGCCCTAAAGCAAGGGACCTGAGGTAATCAGCTTAGCTGATAGACAGGGCCCTGAGTTTATTTCTAGTCCCCTGAGATAACTGGAAGGCTGAAGGAGGCCAGGGGACAGTAGGGTGACTAGATGATTGTTTTTAAATTCTGGAGATGTAGCCTGGAGAGATGCCTCAGTGGTTAAGAGCACTTTCTGTTCTTCCTGAGTACCTGAGTTTGGTTCCCAACACCCACACTGGGCAGTTTACAACCACCTGTAACTTCAGCTCCAGAGATCTGGCACCCCCTTCTGGTCTCTTCAGGTATTGCACTCACAAGTACACAGACCCACACACATACATATAATTAAAAATAAAAATAAAGTTTTTAAAAATACTCTGGAGATGCTATGTGGTACAAGGTGGTCTTGAACCCATGGCAATCCTCCTGCCTCAGCCTCCCCGATGCTAATGTTACAGGTGTGTGCCACCATGCCTGACCAATCACTAGGATTTTACAGTCGTTGGGAGAAACTATGTATATGGGAATATGTCTCATGAGCCAAACAAAGGCTCCACCTAGTCCTGCCTGCTGCTGTCACCATGACAGCCTTTCTAGGGCGGCAGCATCCTGTACCTTTGTATTCAGACAGCATCAACACAGGTCTCAAGTAAATTCCCAGCTCACCTGAGTCACTTGGCAGAAACAAGTTTTTATGTCAACTCACAAACCGACCCATGTAAGCTCTCCAACAAACAACGTGTGTTATTGCAAAGGTGGGTAGCCAACAAGGGAAGCGGTCAGCGTCCCTTTCTCTTGCTTGTCACAGACACATCTGCTGAACTACGCTTGGCACTCAGGATAATATCACACATGTCCAAATCTTCCCTCTTGAGGGAGAAGCAGGAAAGGGAGGTGGACTATGGTCAAGATGAGAGGGGAGATGACCATTTATGATCAAAATAGCAGCTGGCATTTTCTCAGTGCAACCTGAATGCTGGGCACAGCTCCTCTGCCCATCTCTGATGTGGGTGCCATGTTGCAGATGCCTCCCGCAGATGAGGAAATGCAGACCACGGAGCGGAAGCGCCTTGCAAGATGCTGAAGCCCACACACCCTGGTTTAGACATTCTTTAGCACTAGGGTCCACTGGCACCTCTCAACCACTGAATTTAGTGCATACCAACACACCCTTTTCATCCCCAAAGATAGTGTGTACACTAATGAACTAATGACGATGCTTCTCTTTGTCATGCAATGTATACTTACTGAGTGTTTACTCTGCTCTTGGCAAAGAGGAAAGAGAAGGCAGTAGTGGGGCAGGGGTGGGATGCAGAAATGGGCACCTGCTGAAACTCTGCACTTTGCACAGGGGTTCCGAGTAGATTAACCCTCTGGGTGGGCACTGGGGACCTGGGGGCCTATAAACAGTGGGTGAAGATGGGGTGGGGTGGGAGCACGCAGAGCTGAACGGAAGGAGTCTGGCTTTCTTATTTATTACCTCTGGGCTCTCAAACGCATGACTACCAGGCACAAGTGACAAAATAAAAAAGGAAAGGAAAAAATGCCAGCTACAGCCCGAATAAAATCAGGGCAAATAGAATAAAACCTGACAGCCAAGTATAAATAAATATTCGTAAAAGAGTTAAAGGACAGATTAAAATAAAAACACCAAATGCAATTCTTACCCCTTGACAAATGCAGTGAGAATTGGGTTCTTTTAATCAAATGTTTGGCAGGTGTATGAATTATTTATAATTCAATATCGGGTGGTTAAATGGAAAATGGAAGATGTTCCCGTGGTCTTCTCAGTGCTTATCCACCTCCCCCAGTGAATTCTCCCCACCCTGGAGGGAAGGGAAGTAGGGAGTGGGTGGGAGCTTACCCCTCCCCCACACCAGGTGCAAGGCTGGACGCTGAGCCCGGAAACCATGCCCACTCTGGGGTGTCACCATTTGTCAACCTGCTTCATAGTCACAAGCCTTGCAGCTCTGTCCCGTTGAGGAAGGAGGCCCTTCCATGCTGCAGGCAGAAGTTGGGGCAGCTGGCCAAGTATAGGGGAACTGGAGGTCCAGAGATTCGGGGACCTGTCTCCAGGATTGCCCAGACTCGGTGCGCGTGCTCCTGACAACCTTTGCCCTTTCCCGGGTCCTCCTCCCTCAAGCCAGCTTCTCCATTACTGTCCTTTACTTTTCCAAGTCACGTTCTGTTTAGAGTGCAATGCAGCATGTGGCCCTCAACACACCCGGCCAATGTAAGAAGCAGAGATGAAAACTGAGGTTTGGAAGGAAGCAAGGTATCCCTCCAGGAGTGCTGTGGGCTGGTGGAGGGCTGGAGATCTAGCAGAGCAATCAGACACTCTGGTTAAGGTCCAGCTCTGAACCCACACTCTATGTGATCTGGCTCTTTAACACCTTGATTCTCCACTAGGTTATCAGAACACCACACTGGTGATAATACTGCCTCTCCACACCCTAGTGAGGCTCAAGGGGGTGGAGTTACTGGGTAGGAGGAGCCTGCCTTCTGTAGCAACCACACACTGTTGCTATTACCATGGTTACAAAAAAAAAAAAAAATCCACTCATTTGACAGATGAAGAAACTGAGGCCCAGAGAGGTGGAGGGACTGGCACACTGTCACTCAGAGAAGGAGCTGGGAACCCAGGCCTATAGAAGCTTACCAGGTTGGGTACTGCTGGCTCATGCTGGCACCTGCCCTGGTGCTCACCAACACCCAGTTGTGACCTGGATCCTTGCTTATATACAGAGTCCTAAGGGGTCACCGTGCATGGAGTCAGAGTTGAGGGCTATTCTGCCCTGTCTCCCAATCCCCTCTGCTCCCCTTAGACTCTCTCAAACCCAAGTGCACACACAGACACATGCAGACCCCAGAGACCAAAGGCAGGCAGGGAAGATCTCACCACAGGCCAGTGTTGATGGACTCCCCAGAGCAGCAGACGAATGAGCTCTCACTGCTCACAAATGGCTGTCGGAAAGGTGGGAGAATGAAGGCAATTAGTCCCCTTAATGCCGATTTCAGACTAATCTTTCACACTTAAGGAAATTGTTCCAATGATTTTCTTATTTTCAGGGGAGCTCGTTAAGTAAGAATTAGAAAAATAGATATGGTAGGAGAGATAAGAAAATGGATTTTGTAATGACAAGCTGCCTAAACATGCCGAGAGGGGGCTAGGTGGGCCAGGATGGAGTGACGGATCTGAGTCCTCCTGGGTGAATGGTGTTCTAGGACCCCAGGACAGTGTGAAGTGCCTGGGATGGGGGTGTAGGACTCACAGCCTCAGCTGGGGCCTCAAGGGGTACTCCATGGATGCTAGTTACAGGTGGTGTGTTTTGCACCCAGACCACCTCTTGGGTCCCTGAACCTGATTCCTGCTGGATGCAGAGATCTACGAAACAACTTTGCAAAGCGAAGTCTTTGCCAGGCTCGAAGTCTAATGATGAGAATTACAGCCTAAGTACTTCTGGGTCCTCTGGGGAAACTGACAAAGCTTTACTGAATGCCTATTGTATACATATTGCTGTGCTGGGTGCTTTACATCCATTTCACATACTGGCCCCTCAGACAGATGTGTATGTGGTCACATGGTCTGGGTGTTGATGCGGGTACAGACATGAGACCCACATCCGGCCCCACTCATTAGCTATTTTCCATCTTACGTGTCCCCACTGGTGGAGGCCTCTGCTGGGGCAGCTGTTAAATATTTTGGATATCACTCTTGGTTATGTGACTTGACCAAGGCCACAGGATTGTAAGTTGCAGTCTGATATTGGAGCCCGTCTGAGGCCAATGTTACACAGGTTCCTCTCTCTCTTGATCACCTTTGTGTAATGAGTCCTGTGAGAGTTTTATAGGGGATGACAGGGGCCAGAGAAAAACAGCATCTCCAGTAGGGGAAAGTGGGAAGGAGGGCCCACTGGGGAGGCATCTATCCAGGGCAGTGCAGTCCCAGGATGTCCTGTCCCAGGATTACGGTACAAGGCCATTTTCTCCATCCCCTTCCACCCAACTCCTGCCTCTCTGTCTTCGCTTGGATTGTACCTTCCTCCACCTGGTCACTCTACCCAGCCCTGATCACTCCTGGTCTTCATCTTTCTCCTTCACCTCAGAACCTAAGAGGGACCCTCTATCTTCAGGTACAGCAGTGCATTCTGGGAAGCTCATCTTTGTGTGTCCCCTGACCATCCTGTCTGTGGACCAGAGCAGCATCATTAGCAGAAATACCTGGTGCTTGGTTCTGGCAGAGGAATATTTCTCCCTAGAGGCTCCCTAGAGGCCAAGAGGGAGATTTCTCCTCTGTCATCGACCAGGAGATGCACTCAACTCTCCTCTTCCATAGCTCCAACTATAACACAAACTTCTTTGGGCCAAATCTGTGGCCCATTTGGAGAAAGCTCCAACTTCAGTGGCTCTTACATGGGGATGATGTCACCATCCTCAGAACTTTTGCAACATCTGGAGACTGCTCCCCTGGTCACAACTAGGGAGTTGCTGTGGGGATCTAGTGAGTAGAGGCCAGGGACACTACCAAATACCCAAACCACACAGACAACCCCAACAAATAACTGTCTAATCTAATACATCAGTAGGGCCAAGACTGAGAAGCCCTGGAGTAAATACTTAAAGCTGGGGATAGGATGTGCATCTCCTGGGATTGAAGGACAGATGGAGAGTAGGCCTCTGAGCCAAAGATTTGGGTCTGATGCATTTCTTTTCAATCAACAATCATGTATCGGGCTCCTGCTATGTGACTGACACTGCAATGGCTCAGCATCCAGTGATGGACAGTGCACATTCCATCCTGCCCGTTCAGGACTCACAATGCAGTGGACTTTGGTGAGTGGCCTGAGGTACCTCTCTTCCTCCAGAGTCTCAGTTTCAAGATCTATAGAATGAGCACAGCACCCCAGCATCATTATGAAGCCTTCAGCCAGTTCAACATCAGGTACGATTGCCGATCTTTGTTAAGCATTGAGTGTGGATAGAATGGTTCTCAAGGAGAGGGCTGGGCAGGTGTTAGGGACAGTTTTTGGAATTTTTTTCACTAAGAAAAGAGAGGTTGGGGAGATAGTTTAGTAGGTAAAGTGCTTGCTGCGCAACCATGAGAATCTAAATTCGAGCCCCAGCAACCACATAAAAAGCCAGGTGTGGTGGCAAGTGTGTGTAACCCCAGCACCGGGGAGAGGAAACGGGAGGATCCCTGGTGCTGGCTGGACAGCCAGCCTCGCCTACTCAGTGAGCTCCAGGGTCAGTGAGAGAGCCTGTCTCAAAATCAAGGCAAATAGCATCTAAAGAGAACGCCCCTGAGGTTGACCCCTGGCTTCCACATGCATGTGCATCCCATGCTCAGAAATCCCCCCCCCACATGTACCCATACCCATACAGATTCTCACGGAGAGAGAGAGAAGCTAAGACATTATTAAGTGCTTGCTCTATGCACCTCAGTCTCCTCCTGCCAACAGGCCTCTTACCAAAAGTGGAAGTGGGGAAACTGAGGTAGAGAGTCAAGCTGGATTTGAATCCAGCTCTCCTAAGTCTCCCCCTTTTCACACCCAGGCCCTTTTAAGATGGTACAGGGCAGGGAGCTGAGGTCTGAGCCTGATCAGGCCTGGTCCTCCAGCCTCATTCCCCAGCTTCCCTAGGGATCCTGGTTGCACCCCATTAGCACTGCTTTAAAAAGTGCGGGCCGACCAGGGCGCAGTTATTGCCCACATAAATCAGGCGGCTCCGAGTACGGAACACCTTTAAACAAACAGCTGATGGGAGTGAAGTTCCGGGATCATTATTAATAGCTTTTCATTTCGGTGGCCGCTGTGCTGTGACATGCCTTCCCAGCAGAAGCCGGGCGCAGCCAGCCCCCGATCTGCTGATCCCCCGAGTCCGCCAGTCAGAATGAATGACTGTACCTTTGTGTTAATTGTGGAGCCCAGCCGCAAGCAGAATGCTAATGGGGCCAAGTGGAGGGGGGTGGGTACCAGTCCAGTCTGGTTGCCGGGCAGGGACAGACCCCACCTCTGCTCCTTCACAACAGCCAGCAGCGGGATCTTTCTTAAATACTTATCTGAGTTCTGCCCTCATCTGCTCCAGAAAGCCCAGCTCCCATGGCCTGTGGCCAAGCCTCCACTCATCTGTCTGCTCTGGAGTTCCTCCCGTTCTGTCTGTGGCTCTGGCCTCCTTTGCTGGCATCCTTACATCACCAGCCCAGTGCAGCTCAAACTCCTATTTAGATATTCACTCAATCAATCCTTCATTCATTCAACAAACATTTACTGAGCTCTCTGAGGGACTTGGGGAGGAAGCAGTAAGGAAGACATGTCCTTCACTTGAGTGTAAGATCATGCAGGAAACACAAGTGTCTATGGGCCCTAGAGGTAGGTTGCCTGGAGCCAGAGGCCAGGTTAGCTCTTTTCTATCAGTGTGACCTTGCACCAGTGGCCCTTTGACCCTCAATTTTCTTGGCTATAGAATTTAAGCTGTCATAGGATTGTGTAAGGAGCAACCTGAGCAGGTGATCTATGTAAAACATTTAACACACTTTGGTTTCCTATTGAGCACAGAGCCCTTAGTAACTGTCAGCTGTTGCTGTCATTAACTCATGACTTTGTTAGGAGGGCATCAACAAGGTTGGGCCAGACTGGCATCCAGAGAAGGGTCTCCCAGGAGGACCCTTCTGAGTCTAGGAGGGGGAGAGAGCAGCCACACAGAAGGAACAGCATGAGTCAAGGCCCTGGGGCAGGGTGGGATGCACCAGACTAAGGAAGCTGAAGGAGGAAGGCCAGAAAGCAGGAGTGATGGGGAGGGAGGTCGGTTTCAACAGGGGAGGCAGGTAGCCAAAAAGGGTGGCACTGGCAGCACGCAGGGTCTCACGGTTCTTGTTAAATTTTAAATTTCACACCTAATATAGGCAATCATTGAAGGCTGTCCTCCCCGCTTCCTGCTGGGGTCCTCACTGGGTGGCTCTGGAAGAAAGGGAAGGGTAACAGGAGGCTGCTGTCCAGGGGACACAAATGGTGGCCTGGGGGCCTGGAGGATGGGGAGAAAGGGGTGGGTTTGGAGATACACAGAAGGTAGACTCCTCAGAAGATAATTGGAAACCTATGGGGCAGGGGGTGGGGAGAGTCATCATGGAAGACTCCAAGGTGGCCTCTTCTTTGACTTGGGGGGTAGGGGGAAGCCACATTCTGGGGGACTGGGGACCATATCCTCAGTTTGCCTTGCGATGGGTTGTAGGCCTCTGAGCCTTTGCATCTGCTGTTCCTCCTCCTTGGACTGCCCTTCCCACTCAAAACAAGGCTTCCAAAGTCCTCTCCAGTATATGAAGGCCATGTGACTACCTTAGACTGAGCTCATCCTCCTTTTCCCAAGTCCTTTCTAGTGCTCTTATTTTGTGATCCTTCACTGCTCCCCTTTGCCCATCTGCCTCCAAACTTGGGGCCCCAGTGCCACTCTTTCTTCTGTCTATACCTCATCCCTAGGCAACCACATGGAATCCCACATCTGGAGGCCCCAGGGATTCACGATGCACCCAAATGAGTGTCTCCACATCACATCTCTCCCAAAGCCCCAAACCATACAGTCACCTGCTTGTCCAAAGTAGAAGTCTAAAATGTTCTCCAAACTGCTTGTGACCATGCCCCTGACACACAAATAATGATGAAATAAAATAAATGCTAGAATTGCCCCTCTTCAATTCTCCCTTCAGTAACTGGCAACTCCATTATCCCAGCTGCTTCTGCTGAAGACCTCAGAGTCATCCTTGACTTCGCTCCATCTCACACCCTGCATCCTATCCATCAGCGAATTCTGCCAGCACTGCCTTAAAATAGATCCAGAACCTGACCATCATGGCTGTCAGCAGTCTGGACCACACGGGTGTCATCGCTCACCTGGGTTATTGAGACAGCCTCCCAGCTAGCCTCTTCACTTCTGCCCTTAGCCCACAGCCTGCTCTCAGCCGGGATGTTAGA